CTCTCCTCTCCTCCTGGCCCTGTCATGCCAGGCACACTCCCATCTCAGAACTTTAATACCTGTGGTTTCCACTCCTGGAGCCCCCTTCTAAACCAGATGCTGCATGGTTTCTTCCATTCTTGTCATCCTCTCCATGAGGTCTTCCTTGACCACCGTAGTTGGGGGTCCCCAAGACAGGTTCAATGAATCACTAGAAGGACTTGCAGAACTCAGAAAAGCTGCTATACTCACGGTTTTGGTTTATTACAGCGAAAGGATGGAGATTAAAATCAGCAAAGGAAAACGGCACACAGGGAAGAATCTAGGAGAGCCCAGGTGCAATCTTCTAGTGTCTCTCCCAGTGGAGACGTGCAGACAGCACTTCTCCCAGCAATGTGTGACAGCACATAGAGAGTATTGCCCACCAGGGAAGCCCACCTGAGCCTTGGTGTAGAGGGTTTTTATTGGGGGTCGGTCACACAGGCACATGGCTGTCTGCCCGCATGGCTGACCTTGGTCTCCAGCCCCCTCCAGAGGTCAAACTGATACAACATGCCCCAAGGCCTCCACCATAAGTCACCTTATTAGGACAGATGCTCTGGCATGGCCCAAGGCCTCCAGGTCATCAAAGACATTATTATCAGGCAGGCTATTTCAAGGGTTTAGAGGTTCCCTTCCAGAATCCAGGCAAGGGCCAAACCTTTCTTTGTAATGTGCAGAGGCTGGAAAACCCAGGTCTGCTGAGTTAACCCTTCATTGCACAACCACTCACTTAAAATTGCAACCCTCCTCTGACGTTCTCCACCCCCTTTCTCTGCTTTACTTTTCTCCATGACACTTAATTCCCATCTGTAATACTTGATGTTTTGCTTATTCATTTGTTTCTTGTCTCCCTCTCCTCTAGAAGTGAGTTCCTTAAGGACAGAGGTGTGTTTTTTTTTTTTTAATTTTATTTATTTATTTATTTTCCCCCCAAAGCCCCAGTGGATAGTTGTATGTCATAGCTGCACATCCTTCTAGTCGCTGTACGTGGGACTCGGCCTCAGCATGGCAGGAGAAGCAGTGTGTCGGTGCGTGCCCAGAATCCGAACCCGGGCCGCCAGTAGTGGAGTGCGCGCACTTAACCGCTAAGCCATGGGGCCAGCCCAGAGGTGTTTATCTGTAGTAGGATTTAATGAATATTTGCTGAATGAATGAATGAACTACAGGCATTGTTGAGGATGTGAAATTCTTCTTATTTGGACAAAAATCTGCCAGTACTTGGTGAAATTGAATAAGAGTAAGACTTTTGGTCCCTTGGTCCTGCTCCTGTGAATATCTTGGGGAAGTCTTCTATAGGTCCATAAGGGGCATGCCCCCAAATAGTCATTGCACAGTTGCTTGGGTTGTGGAGGGAACCTAGGTGTCCATCACTGGGGCATTGGGTCATTAAACATGGTGGATGTATATCATGGAGTGGTTCTTCTCAAACTTTAATAAGCATTGAGTCCTCTGGGGATCTTGTTAAAAATGCAAATTCTGGTTCGGTTGGTCTGGAGGAGGGTCCAAGACTCTGCACTTTTAATAAGCTCCAGGGGATTCTGATGCTGCTGTTCTCTGGACTACACTACAAGAAACAGGAGTATAGAGTAGAGTAGGGCTATCCGGTAGAACTTTCTTCCATGATGGAAATATTCTATTCTTCTGCGCTGTCCAATATGGCAGCCACTTGCCCCACATGGCTATCGAGCACCAGAAATGTGGTGAGTGTAACTAAGGAATGGAATTTTAACGTGGATTAAATCTAGCTAATTTTAATTTAAAATTTAAATGATCACATGTGGCTGGTGGCTATCATATTGGACAGCATAGGTTGAGAAGACTCTGTGGCACTGAGAACCAAGAAACTAGATGAGCAAACAGCAACATGGCTAGATTGTTAAAACAGTGTTTGGTGGAATAACGTCACCAATTTAATACCACAATGTGACTCCTCACCTACACTCACCTTCCTTGGTACTCTGTCTCATTAAATCTAAAATACCATTGATTGGATTTGCACTATTATTTTGTATACCAGTAAGAAAGAAAAGGGAGCTTTCCATTGAATTGTGACATAATGCTAAAACACCATCAGTTGTAAGATGCTTCCTGATTTCAGAGATGTTAAAAATATGAAAGGAGGGGCCAGCCCGGTGGCGTAGCAGTTAAGTTCCCGCATTCCACTCTGGTGTCCCGTGGTTCACCGGTTTGGATCCTGGGCGCGGACAGATGTACCGCTTATCAAGCCATGCTGAGGCGGCGTCCCACATAGAGCAACTAGAAGGATGTACAACTGCGACATACAACTATCTACTGGGGCTTTGCGGAGAAAAAAGAAAGAGAGGAAGATTCGCAACAGACGTTAGCGCAGGGCCAATCTTCCTCAAAAAAAAAAAATAAAAAGAAAGGAATGTGCGTCTGAGAAGCAATAAAATACCGTACTCAGCCACCACAGTAAAATACCGTGCTCAGCCACCACAGCTGGGAGAACGGGTTGGAAGTCAGATTAATCTTCCATCTAAATTACTTTTACTCAGCTTTCTAGAGGGATGCAGGCTAAGAATTACAGCATGGGCCATACCGTTTCTTCACCTCACTGGGGGCCCGACGCTACCCAAGTCTGTTTTTGTCCTCTTTCTTCCACTTGTACAGAAGAAGAGCTCATATGGCTGCCACGTCTGAGAGCCACAGTGTTTCTGCATCACCTTGACAGAAAGAGCAGCCTCCGTTTCCCAGCGATCTTCTGAGCTGCTGTAGGCACGCAGGCCCCCGACCTGCCACCTGAGAACTCTCCAATCCTGTGCTGTCCCCCGCAGCACAGCAGGTGAGCACCTGTGAGGCTGGCGCAGCCTTCTACTCTATCTCAACTCTGCAGCATCCAAGCACAGAACTATGAAAAGACAGACCCTAAGACCATTAGGTCATTCCCAGGCAGACCTGCCCTGCAGTGTGCCAGTGGGGGTTTAACCACAGCTCTCAGAAAAGAAGCCCTGATCTGCAGTATTTGCCAATTTCTGTGGTGTAAATCATCCCACTGGGGCTGATGGGAAGCTCCCAATTTGACGTCACTGGGCACGGAGTTGGGAAGAGACGCCCGAAAGTCCACCGTTACAGACGCTGTGTGTTGTACAGACACACAAATAACTTCAAAGCATGGATATTAGTAAAAATAATTAGGACTTGAGAGTTTTCCGTATTTATTGACTTTGTTTTTACTATACATGATTTAATTGTCAATTTATGTAATTCAATTTTTCATAATAGCTGTTTAGCAACCGGTTCAGAATTCCTGAAAATCTGCCAATAGGCTTTTATGGGCTGGGATGAGCTCGCTCCGGCACACACTGGGCCTGCCGCCCGGCCCAAGTTTATTAGCCCTTTTATTCATAGAGTCTCTCTACTTTACTTTTAAATTATGTTTACTGTTTATTTCCTGTCTATCACCTCCTGAATATTTATTGACTTTGTTTTTACTATATGTAATTTCATTGTAAGTTTATGTAATTTAATTTTTAATAATGGCTGTTTAGCAACCGGCTCAGAATTCCTGAAAATCTGCCAATAGGTTTTTACGGGCTGGGATGAGCTGGCCCCGGCACACACTGTACCTGCCGCCCGGCCCAAATTTATTGGCCTTTTTACTCATAGAGACTCTCTACTTTACTTTTAAATTACGTTGACTGTTTCCTGTCTATCACCTCCTGCTACAATGTAAGCTCTGTGAGGAGAAGCATTTAATTGTGTCTGGCTTGTTCACAGCTCCACCCCCAGCACCTATACCAACATTTGGTACCGAGTAGGGGCCCAATAAATAGATCAATGTCTGGCGCATAGTAGGGCCCCAATAAATAGTCGTTGCATGACAGTAAGAAAGAGAATGAAATTCAAAACACAACGATTTCATGCAAATTACAAACCAGGCAATGCGACAAGGCACGTTTTCCAAGAAATGCATGGTATTTGAGGCCATTTGTGTCGGTGCCTGTGGGGAAGGAGGGCACCAGAGGTAAGGATGATGGGTGGAAATAAATCAATAAAATGAGAACAGAGCTCAGCTAGGACTTGAACTCAAGGGTGTGGTTAACTCAGCTCTCCTCACCTGAGATCTGATTAGGAAAAAGAGGCCCTCTCTAGTTGCACAGGGTTTTCCAGGAAACGGTGAATCTTTGCCCTCCCTGCCCTGAATCTCAGCAGTTGCTGCTCACAGGACCCGGGGAGGAGGCTAGGGGGGCAGTCCTGCTCAGAGTCACACTGTGGGGCTAGGCGTCTCCTTCTGCCACGCCAGACACAATGGATGGGGGGGCGTGCAGGCAGACCCCCAGGGAACAACATGCACCCTCATTCAGCCGCTTGTCTTGTCAGAACACGACCCCTGGCTGGGCACACTGGGGCCGCTGTGTATATACCCGTTGAATGAGTTAAAGGAACAGATGAACGGCATTTATGGTTATTCAACTTTTATTATCATTATTTATCCGGTTTTAAAGTTTTGAAAATTGCCTTCTTTGGAATATGGTGTCAGTTTGGTGCCTTCAGGTTCTTGCCCTCTGTGTCTAGGGGGGTCTTCAATAATGATGGTGATGTTTTGGGGGTGGGGAGAGAAAACCTGAAGGAACTGATCTGGGAGAGAGGAGTTCTGAGCTAAGGGTCAAGATCGGGATGCTGGGGGCCAGGACTCCAGGGTCTGCGGGAGGAGGATGCGGGGGGCCCGGAGTCTTGGGTCTGGGGGAGGAGGAGGGGCTGGGGGCCTGGACCCTTGGGTCTGAGGGAGGAGGAGGCTGGGGGCCTGGAGTCTTGGGTCTGAGGGAGGAGGGTCTGGGTGGGGAGGAGGGGCTGGGGGCCCGGATCACGGGGTCTGAGGGAGGAGGGGGCTGGGGGTCAGGACTGGTGGGTCTGAGGGAGGAGGGGCCGGAGGCGGAGACTCCCTGGGTCTAGGGGAGGGGGAGAGGCCAGGGGCCCAGACCCCCGTCCTGAGTGGAGAGAGCGGTGTCTGAGGAAGCATATCCGACAGCTAAAGTTTGGTCACACTGGTGATCATTTGCTCCGTATGGTTTCCTGAATCCAGTTGTGGTACTTGCACAGGTTGGTGTAGACCCCGGGGTAGCCAGGCAGGGCACAGTGCTCCATCCCCCAGGACACGAGGCCCTGGAGCTGTCCTTTGCACACCAGGGGTCCCCCAGAGTCACCCTGAGGGGGAGACACAGAGAGGGGTATGCCCACGAACAGATGGCCAGAACCATGGGTGTGGAGACCCCAGCATCAGAGATGAAGAAGGAGATGGGCTGAGACCCCTAGCAGGGGCTCTGGAGATATCAGCCCTGGGGGCTAGGGTCCCTTCTGTCCCTCTCCACTGGTGCCTGCGCTGTCTTTGGCCCTTGCGTCTCACTGGGCCCCTCTGTCTCCGGAAAACTGTGTGTGTCTCTTTATATGGACCATCTCTTCCAGCTCTTAGAGGTGCTACTCCATTGAACAGATGGGGAAATTGAAGCACAGAGGGGTTAGATCCATTACCCAAGGGCACACAGCTATGAGGCAGTGTAACCTGGCTATGACAATCTCTCTCGGTCTCCGGGGACCTCTGCTGATTTTCATGCCCCCGAGATCCTTTTGTCCCAGCCCCAAACAATCCCCCTCCTCCAGCTCTCCCTCTGGGCCTCACCTGACAAGAGTCCTTCCCGCCTTGGGGGACCCCTGCACAGACCATGCCTGCGGTGATCGCTCCGGAATAGGCCTGCCTACACTGCTGATCCGAGAAGATGTTGATATTCACGCACTGCAGCGAGTTGGGGTACTGGGCTGGGGGGGCACTGAGAGGTTATGACTGGGGTCCAACCTCCCACAGGACTCAGGAATCCGGGGCCCCAGCCTCTTTCTCCCTCAGACCCAGGAGTCCAGGCCCCCAGCCCCTCCTCCCTCAGACCCAGGAGTCCAGCCCCCAAACCTCCTCCCTCAGACCCAGGAGTCCAGGCCCCCAGCCCCTCCTCCCTCAGACCCAGGAGTCCAGCCCCCAGCCCCTCCTCCCTCAGACCCAGGAGTCCGGGCCCCCAGCCCCTCCTCCCTCAGCCCTGGAGATCAGGCCCTTAGCCCCCTCCTTTCCTGGATGCACGAGTCCTCACCTATGGGGCTGGATGTGGTACCCCAGCCTGACACACGGCAGGAAGTCCCCGGGCTGGCACAGGAACTGGCCACAGTGATAGGCCTCACTGCTTTCCCCAGCCGAGCGGGCTGCTCCAGCCGCAGCAGCATCAGGTCGTTGTTGTGGGTCCAGGAGTTGTACTGGGGGTGTGGCACCTGGCGAACCACGCGCAGCACCTGCTGGGTGGCCTCCCAGTTCTTCAAGTTGTACTTGCCCAGGGCGACCTGAAGGATCCTGGCCCATGACCCCAAGAGTAGTGCTGCTTAGGATCTGACATGGAGACCCCTCCCCCACCTCCAGCCCCGTTCTCTTCCCTGGTGATGCATTTTCCCCAAGTCTAACCTGCCTCCCTCTATCTGCAGGCTGAGTGTTTGCTGGCCTCCTGTACCAATTCCCACCGCCTGGGCATCCTCTCTTGGCCCAATCCCACCATCCTCCCGGTCCTCTTTTGAACTGTGCTCTGTCTTCTGGCTTGGGTGTAAGGTGATGGTTGGGCATTGTTGACTCAGTTCCAGAGTCTGAGCCTGGTTCTATGCTCTGAGTTCTAAGACTCTGGGCTTTGGCTCTAGGCTCTAAATCAGAATTGATATTCTGGAATAGGCTCCAGGGAGGCTTCATCTCAAGTCTAGCCTGGCCTCTGGGTTCTAGACATTTTGAACTTTTGGCTCTAAGATAGGAGCTGGGTTCTAGATTGAGTCTGAATTATGGCATACTTTCTAGATACTGGTGTGAGCTTTCGGTTTTAGGGTAGGCTGAGGGTTTTACTTTGAGCTCTGCATGATGGCTGGATTCTGGGTTCTAGATACTGATATAAGCTCCAGTGTCTACACTGAGTTCTGGGTTCCTGATTACGCTCTGGTTTATGACCTGGGTTTTAGACAATGGTTTGAGTTCTGTGCTCTGGTTGAGCTAAATGTTCTAAACACTAGTCTGAGTTCTTGATTTTAGGTCAGGCTTTGTTTCAGATTGAATTACAGGTTATAATCTGGGCTCTTGGTTCTAGACTCTGGTCTGAGCCCTTGACGTAAGGTTGGGCTCTGGGTTCTAGATGGAGCTCCATGATATGGCCTAGATCCAAGGTTCTAGATGTTGGTTAGCATTCTGGGCTTTGCATTCTAGACTCTGGGCTGAGTTCTGTACTCTAGGTTCTAAGTTGAACTTCAGTTTATGGCATTAGATGTGGTTTATAGGCATTGGGTGAGCTCTCATCTGGACTTTTACTTCTAGTCTGGGGTCTAGGTTCTAAGTTAGGTCTAGAATCTTGGAGGGGCTCTAAGTTCTGTATGGGGCTTCAGATTATGGCCTACATTCTGGGATTTAGATGCTGGGTTGAGGTCTGGGTTCTAGGCTGCTCAAAGAGGAGATGCAGACTACAATCTGGATTAAACATCAGATCTAGGAGAGGTTCCAGATTTGTCTCTATCTTATGCTCTGAGGTGTATGTTCTAGCTATAAGTGAGGTTCTGGATTTGTGGCTGGACTGTAGGTTCTGGATCGGACTCTGGATTCTAGACAGTGTTCTGAGAGGGGTCCTGAGTTTCTGAATGTAGACTGTGCCCTGCATTCAACCACCCATCTAGAATGGGCTCCTGATCTTTCTCTCTTTGTAGAGCTTGGTCTCTGGATGGATCTCTAGGTTATGTGTTAGGTTCTAGGTTCTCTGTGAGTCTCTAAGCTGGTGTATGGGTTCTAAGCTGTTGATCTGCTTTCAGAATCCAAACTAAGTTCAAGATTTCTGGCTGGATTCCAGGTTCTGAGCTGTGTCTGCGGTTCTAGGCAATTATCTAGACCCCAAACCAGGACCCAGCTACTACATTGGGTTCTACACAGGGTTCCAGGTTCTCAGCTGGGCTCTGGGGCTCTAGACTAAGAAATTCACTTGGTGCAGGAACAGGAGAGGGGGTCACTCACGGGCGGGCGCAGTGAGCAGCAGTGATGGCCCACTGGTCTGACAGCAGGGCCCCTCCACAGAGGAAGCGACGCTGGGGACCTGCCAGTAGGGCTGCCTGCCATGGCTGAGAGTTCTGTCTGCACGGATAGCCACCAATTATCTTGTTCTCATCCCCTTGGCTCTGTGCCACGGCTAGGAACAGGCAGAGGTGGGGTGGGGTGGGGAAAGCACAGTAAACACTCTCCACCCCCCAACCCTCTAGGGTGTCCAGGACCCACAAATCCCTCTCTTCTTTGCCTAACCCTTAAACCACCCATCTCTATCAGCCCCACTCAATATGAGATATGACCAAGGCTGCCCCCATTATTGCCCCAACACAATAGGGAGTTTTCTGACCCTCCTAGTCACCTCCCTAATATCTATTATTTGATCCCATGGCACCTCATCTAGGGCCTTCATACATCTGCTCTTCATGACTTCTTTATCACGAATACTTTCTATCATCACTTTTCACGATATGCCACATTTCCCCCATTAATCCATCTCCAACACGTTCAAGGAGCTCCCTGTCCCTTCCCCAACCTTTCCACTCCATGTGACCCCCCAGGACCCACTATCTCGCCCAACACCCTCTCCGCCCACCACACCAGGCCACCTGCCATGAGCCCACCACCCCATCGTCACCCCCACCATCATTTCTGACAACACTCCGTCTTTCCCATGTTGGTTTCTCCTTAGCACAATCAAGGACCGTCCTGTGGCCCTCCTTTCTAATATGACCCCATAGTTCTCCACAATTCATCATTCATTTCTCCCCATCTCCTACGACTCTCCTGTGCCGCCATCTCCTGACACCTCCACAACTCAGAACTCAACCCCCTCCAGCACGCTTCTCAGCCCTGATCCCCAAGTTCCTTGCCACTCCTTCTCATCAGGTCGTCCATGAGCATCCTGCGTCCCTAGGACCTTTCCCCATCTCTTCTCAGAGTCTCCAGAGGACCCCTACCCCAGACCCCACTGCTCTCTTACCTACAGCCAAGATCTGAAGTGCTGTCAGCAGGAGGAACATTCTGGGGGCCACTGGTTGGGTTCTGGCAAATGCAGACAGGGATTGAGAGAGGGGGAGGCTGCAAGAGACCCAGAAGGACAGAGACAGAGAGAGCCTCTCACACAGAGATCAAGACCCTTAGAGACATGGATCAGAGACAGAGCAGAGGCCAGAAAGCAGGAGGGCAGGGTCCGGGGGCTCCTTGGTGGCTGGGGGGAGGAGGCTTGGCAAGGCTCAGACCGGGCCCTGTTGTCTCCCTCTTGGAAGAGGTGCGAGTGGCATCGCTTCCTTGTCACTCTGTGGAGGCCTTTTATCCCTGGTCCTGCTGCTGGCCCTGCCCTTGCCCTTCTCCTGACATCTTTGTAATTGCCTACTTAGTTCCTATTCAGAATTCCCCAATCCCGTCTCCTCCCTCCTCTCTGTGGCCAGAGAAGCGGCCACAGTCAGTAATGAGAGCCCGCCCACCAGCCCAGTGAAGGTTTTATAATCTGGGAGGAAGCCAGAGAGGAGGACCCCAGGGCAGGGCAGACAGGGTGGAGGGGCTCAGGGGAAGGCGCTGGGTGCGGCCAAGCGGGCAGGGACAGAGGCAGAGAGAGGCTGGGAAATGTGAGAGAAGTAACATGAAGGAGGAGAGGCAAAGAGTAAGAGAAATACAGGCCCAGAGAGAAAAGTGTCCACGGTAGGGAGAATTGAGGGAGGTGGAGACAGAGGAGGCAAACGGAAAAAGACAAGAGGAGGCGAGGGGAGGCACAGAGACAAAGTTATGGAGAGATGAGTGTGGAAGGGCGGAGAGAGAGAAGACGAAAAACAGAGCGAAGAAGGCGAAGACAGAATAGAAACAGACACAAAGAAAGAGAAAAAGGTGGGGAGAGAGGAGAGAGGCAGAGGTACCCCCAAACACACACACGTAGAATAATGGCAGTGGTGACGGAGGGAGGTGGAGAGGCGATGGAAGGAAAGGGTGGTACCACGGAAGAGAGAGAAAGAGGATGCAGGACACGGCAGATAACATGGGGAGATGGAGGGAGCAGTGGATACGAGGTGGGTGATGGGGACACTGACAGAGGACACTGAGAAAGAGGAGACAGGCAGGCATATATGAAAGGTGACAGCACAAGAGGAAGAGAGAGAGGTAGGGACTGGGGATGGGGAGCCACAGGAGAAGGAGTGCGGGAGGGAGCAGCACTGGGCAGTCCTGTCTCCCATGCATCTCACCTCCTGGTCCTCGAAACCCTGAAGGTGGGGCAGGAGGGGCCCCGGCAAGGAGGAGGGACAGTGCAGAACTGATGTCCCCCAACTTGGGCTCTGCAGAGGGATGGGAGAGTGGGGTACAGAGACAGAGTAAGGGATGGAGACCCAGAGAAGGAGACAGAGACCCAGAGGGGGGGAGACGGAGACCCAGAGAGAGGGACAGAGACCCAGAGAGAGGGGGACAGGGACCCAGAGAGAGGGGGACAGAGACCCAGAGAGAGGGGGACAGAGACCCAGAGAGAGGGGGACAGGGACCCAGAGAGAGGGGGCCAGAGACGAGAGGGAGGGGGACAGGGACCCAGAGAGAGGGGGACAGAGACACACAGAGAGCAGGAGAGACAGTGGTGAGATGGGGAAGGGTTCCAGGCAGCCCGAGGTGGGGCCCTGGATTTCGGGGACCCACTCTAACTTGGGGCGAGGCCTGCCAGCCTCAGTCCCTCCCCCAGCCTCTTAAACTCCCTAATAACTGCTATTTACCCTGGGCTATCCCGGACCTCCACGCAATGACTCAGGAGGCCGCCTCTCTGCACTCTCCCTCCCACCGTCCCTGTCTCCACACCTGGGGACTCCCACTGTGCATCCGAATCCACACTCCCACCTCTGCTGCATGCATTTCTGTGTCCTGTGAACTGGCTTTGCTGAGGGGCCTTGCTGCTTTGAGCTGAAAGCCTGGGCTCAGGCCCTGGTGAGCCAGAAGCGTGAGATGCATAAACCCCGTGTAAGGAGTTAATTCTCTGGGAACGTAGAGGTGGGGCTGCACAATGGAGCTGCTCTGTGGGGGATCAGTGCTGTATCTTGATGCTGTTGTGGTTACACGGATCTATGCACGGGATAAAATTACATAGAAACACACGTGCACACACGTGCCCACAGGCAAGTAGATGCACATGAACAACGGACACGGGATGAGAGCTGGAGTCTAGTTAACAGTGCGGTACCCTCCTCGGTTTTGTTCTGATGTTGAACTGCAGCCATCTAGGGTGTGATCACTGGGGGAAGCTGGGTGCTGGGCATTGGGACTCTCAGGACTATTATTTTGCAACTTCCAGTGAGTCTGTAATTATTTCAAAATAAAGAGTTAACAACAGGGGCCAGCCCCGTGGCCTAGTGGTTAAGTTCGGCATGCTCTGCTTCTGTGGCCTGGGTTCCATTCCTGGGCACGGACCGACACCACTCATTGGCAGCCATGCTGTGGCGGCGTCCCACATAAAAAATACAGGAAGATTGGCACAGATGTCAGCTCAGGGCAAATCTCCCTCAGCAAAAAATAAAAATAAATAAATAAATAAAATAAATAAATACATAAATTCAATATTGATTTAAAAATAAATAAATAGTTAACAACAAAACAGAATTTCCGGGTAGACACAAGCCCCCTTCCCCGATATGAGCAGAAAGCTTTGATTTGATGGACGTAGGGAGACCCTCAGCTGAGCTGGAGGGCCCCGGTAAACACGAATCTCCCTCTTCCTAGAAAGAACGCTCTGCTTAAGCGCAAGGCCTCTGTGAACTGAGGGAGCCTGAGAGAAAGGCTGGCGATGCAGACACAGATGAGGCTCAGTGAACCGCCTTATTGCTCTGCTCCCCATCCCAGCCCCTAAGCACCCCCCCCCACCAGTGTCCTTGCCAATTTACTCATGCCCTTCCCTCCAGGCTCTGAACTCTGAGCTACCTTGCTCACCAGTCCACCCACCTGCTTAGCACAGTGTTGTCTGCCACGACCTGGGTCCTCAATAAATATCTGATGAAGGAATGAACGAACGAACACATGCTCACAGTCCTTGCCTTCAAGGAACTCACGGTCTGGAAGGAAAGGCCAACGGGGCTGCAGGAAATTCGGTCCAGGGTGATGTGTGCTCTGACCAGGGATGTCGAAGGGCCTGATGGAGCCCTAGGAGTGGGAAAAGGGTTCCCGGAGGGCGGGCTGTCTAAGCTGGGGCCTGCTGTGGATGAGTAGGAGTTCACCAGGGGGATGAAGGGAGTGTGGGGGGTGGGGTGGGAGGGAGGTGAGCAGCTATGAGTAGATACCTTCTGGCAGGAGGATCTGACAGAGCTCAGAGTGCTACTGGGAGCAGTGGCCAGGAGAGGCATGGGTCCAAGGGTGATTCTGAACAGGGGAGAGAAGAGCTCTTAGGGTCCTCACTGGAGACCTAGGTCTGGACCTTAGGAGAGCTGTCTGGTTAGAAACAACAGTGGGGCATGACTGGTGCAGAAGACCCCGGAAGACAGAACGTGTGGAGCCCACCCAGAGAGATTGCATAGAGTGAGAAGACCAGGGGCATCTGCCCGGGACCCCAGGGAAGACCCCCAGCTTAGGGGGAAGGGGGCTGAGAAGGAACGATTGAAGAGCTAGGAGGAAAATCAGGAGAGAGTGGTGTTGGGAAGTTGAGATAACTTTTAAGGATGTTAGCTCAGGGCTAATCTTCCTCAGCAAAAAAAAAAAAAATTAAGGAGGAAGCAGCACAGATCAACATAGCTGGGTGGCCACTGGGAAAAATGACAGAGAGGTGACTGGAGATTTTGGAGAGAGAGATTTTGTGGGGAGTGGAAGGCGGGGAGGTGGGTGGAGAAGATCAAGGAATGGAGGAACCTGTGGGTGAAGAAAGACGACTCTTAGACGTGGGGGGAGGAGAAACGTGTGTGACCAGTGAGGGCTGGTCGTGAGAGAGGAAAAAACAAACACTGTAGCTGACATTTATTGAGGGCTTGGCACAGCCAAGCACACTGTTGTCTTCTTCTTTTTTATTTTGTTTTCATGTTCAAAACTTAAGTAAAAGTTAATTTGCTTTTTTATTGTCGTAAAATATACATAACAAAAACTTTACCGTTTTAACCATTTTTAAGTGTTCAGCTCAGTGGCATTAAGTCCACTCACATGGTTGTGCAACCATCCCCACCATCATCTCTAGAACATTTTCATCTTCCCAACCGGAACTCTGCACCCATTAAACACTAAGTCCCCGTTTCTCCCTCACCCTAGCCCCTGGCAACCACTGTTCTGTCTCCTGTCTCCATGAATTTGACTATTCTAGGTGCCTCGTATAGGTGGAATCACACAGAATTTGTCTTTTAGTGTCTGGCTTATTTCACTCAGCATAGTATCCTCAAGGTTTGCCCATGTTGTAACAGGTATCAGAATTCCCTTCCTTTTTAAGATGGAATTATACTCCATTGTATGGGTAGACCACATTTTGTTTATCCAGGTAACTTTTTTTTTTTGTGCTGAGGAGGATTGGCCCTGAGCTAACATCTGTTGCCAATCTTCCTCTTTTTGCTGGGGAAGATTAGCCCTGAGCTAATATCCATGTCCATCTTCCTCTATTTTGTACGTGGGACGCCGCCACAGCATGGCTTGATGAGCAGTGTGTTGGTCTGCACCCAGGATTTGAGCCTGTGAACCCCGGGCCACCGAAGTGGAGTGTGTGAACTTAACCACTACGCCACCAGGCTGGCCCCTGGGTAACTTCTTTATGTGGGTTATCTTCTTTCCTCCCTCCTTCCCTCCCCTCCTTCCTTCCTTTCTTTCTTTCTCCCCCTCCCTCCTCACTCTCTGTCCTTCCATTCAACAAATATTTATTGATACTTACTATGTATCTGTCATGGTTCTAAGCTCTGAGGATACAGCAACGAGCAAAAGAAACAGAAATCTCTCCCCTGGTGATGCTGACATTCTGGAAGGGGAGGCAATCAAGAAAAAGAAAGTTAAACAAAATAGAAAGTGATTAAAAAAATCATATGAAAAATTGAAATGAAAAAAATTTCAATTTTTATGAAAAATCATAATAAAGGGGCCGGCCCCGTGGCATAGCGGTTAAGTGCGCGAGCTCCGCTGCTGGTGGCCCGGGTTCAGATCCCAGGTGTGCACCGACGCACCGCTTGTCAGGCTATGCTGTGGCGGCATCCCGCATAAAGTGGAGGAAGGTGGGCATGAATGTTAGCTCAGGGCCAGTCTTCCTCAGCAAAAAAAAAAAAAAAACCTTAATGAAGCAGGCAGAGGGTAGGGTCAGGGAAGGCCTGACTGAAGTGACCTTTGAGCAAAGACCTGAAGGTGGTCAGGAGTGAGCCACGGGGATCTCTGGGGGAAGACTGTTCCAGACAGAGGAATCAGCATGTGCTAAGGCCCTGGGGTGGGAGGAGGTCTGGTGTGTGTGGGGACCGGTGAAGAAGCCAGTGTGGCTGAGGCAGAGTGAGAGATAGGGAGAACAGAAGAACATGAGAAGTGAGGTATGGGAAGTCTGGACTCTGTGGGATAGGTCCTTTCTTGTGCCCATTTTACAGACTGAGAAACTGAGGCTGAGAGAGGGGAAGTGGCTTGTCCAAGGTCATCCAGCTGGTACGTGCAGGAGGAAGCATACAAATTCCAGGACTTTCTGAGTCTCTGCTCCACCCGCTGAATCTTCTACTGTGGCTGGTGGTGATGGGAGAGTCAATCCCATTCGAGCACTGATTTGTGAGTCTAACACCGTTTTAAGGCATTTTTTGTAAATTAACTCACCGAACCCTTCCCTCGGTCCCGTGCAAAAGGCACTCACAATCCTCCACGTAGAGATAAGGAAGTGAAGTCGCCCGCCCAGGGTTACACAACACTGAGTGCTGGCGCCTGTGATGATAACCCAGGCAGAGGGCTCTCAACAACTCGTGGGTGCGAGATGAGCCAGAACAAAGGGGCGGATGGTGCAACTGAGGAATGTGACATTAGCCCCAGACAGGAGGAAAGACGCCTCTTCCATTGTCCCAGGAAGGAAGAAGGAAGGGTGGGTTAGGCTGTGGTGAGGTGTGGGTCGGGTGGCAGGAAGTGGAGGCAGGGCCGGTCCAGGGAGATGGGAGACCCAGGCCAGCCCTTCTCAAGGGGCACATGGGTGGCTGGGGTTGGGGAGGCTAAGGGGTGGGGTGTTGGTGATGAAGAATTTAAAGAGGCACCTCTGAGGCCGGCCCCGTGGCTCAGCGGTTAGGCGCTCGCGCTCTGCTGCTGGTGGCCCGGGTTCGGATCCCGGGCGCGCACTGACGCACGGCTTCTCCGGCCATGCTGAGGCCGCGTCCCACATGCAGCAACTAGAAGGATGTGCAACTATGACATACAACTATCTACTGGGGCTTTGGGGGAAAAAATAAATAAATACAATTATTAAAGAGGCACCTCTGAGCAGTTGGCTGGGTGATGGTGGGAGGGATGCTGCAACAGGGGAGCTGAGGATAACAAGGGTAAAGGGGCGGACTGCGGGGGCGAAGGGAGCTCAGACAGAAGGGGCTTGGTGGGGAGGCTGCATGAGGAGGGTCAGAGTGTCTTCGAGGTGTCAGAACAGGTAGGGCAGGGCCACCCACAGCTCTGGAGGCTGTGGTCAGGGAGTGGGATGCGGAATTTTGTGGTTTCAGAGGTGGAGCCCTTCTGGATGGAGATAGGGCCCAGGGTGTGACCATGGGAATGGGTGATGGGGGAAGTGGTCTCCGGCCACCTGGAGGCTGGGGGACTGGAAAACCAGGGGGTCCTTTCTAACCCAGGTTCCTGACTCCCTGTGTGAGCCAATGCTTGTCTGTTTCCACTTAAAATGCAAATCAGGCAGGTTGCCAAGGGCTTTACAAATATTATCACATTTAATCCTCATGCCAGCTGTATGAGGTTAGGGACTCGCGTTAGTATCACATTACAGGTGAGGAAGTCGGTCTCAGATTGAAGTCACTTGAGCAAGTGGCAGAGTCGGGATTGGAACCTGGGTCATCTGGCTGTTAAACATGACGCCACTCCATCTCCAAACCTGTTTCCGTGCCATCGAGGACGGGGAGCTCTCTGCTGGGTCCCCATCCCCTGGAACAGCCTCTCGTGAGAGATCGTGCAATGAATGTTTGCGGGATGAGCGAACGGACCCTCACTGTCTGTCTTTTGCTAGGTCCCCACCAGCTCTCGGTTGGCAATTTTTCTAGCACCCACTGTGTGCCTCGCTTAACTCTCCCATGGGCCCCACAGGGTGCCCACCATCACTCCCATTCTACAGATGAGGAAACAGAGAGAAATGAGGTCCATTGCTCAACGTGGGGTGGTGAGCCAGTGAGTGTTGGAGCTGGGATTCGAACCCTCTGCTCCTGACCTCATGTGTCTCTTTGAACTCTCTCTGGGCAATCTCCCAGACGTCTCTCAGTTGGTACCTGTATCTGCTACGTACGTGCCAGGCAGCCTCTATCTGTGCACCTGGGCGCCCTGGATGCTGGGTGATAGCCAACGAGCATCTCTGGTCCACCACCCTCCATCTCTGTTATCTCCCACGTGTTTTGGCTTCAGCTCCACGGTCTGCTCCCGCTTTCCCTCTGATTCTTCCCCTGGATCGTAAATGACACCATCCTCTCCTCAGTTGCTCGGATTGAAAGCCGGGGGCGGTCCTTGATCCCTCCCTCGCCCCCACCTCCCACTTTGTCAATTCCTGTCACCTTACCTCCAAAATAGACGGTGAATTCGCTCACTTACTTCCTCTCGCACCCACCCTTGTGTAAGCCACGCTCATCTCTCACCTGGACAGGTGCCATAGTATCCAAGCTGGTCTTGTTGCTTCCACATTTGATCCCATCCCCCACCCCCCCCCCCCCCCCCCACGGCAAATCCATTCTCCACTGGGCACACTGGGCAGGGCGGACAATGTGTTCTTTTTTTTTTTTTTTTAATTGCTGTAACATTGGTTTATAACATCAACGCGTTCTTAAAACATAAAACAGTATCATGTTAAAACCTGCTTAAAATCCATCTGTGATTTCCCACTGCAATTATAATAAAAGCTAAACGCCTCCAAGGCACTCTATGTCTGGCTGATGTCCATCTCTCCAACCTCCTCATTCCGTCATGCCCTGTGCCTCAGCCCCGCTGGACTTCTTTGAATTTCTTGATGTGCTAGGTGCCTTCCCACCTCAGGGCCTTTGTCTTTGCTGTTCCCTCTGCCTGGGACATGCTTCCTGCCACTCCTCCCATGATCACCGGCCCAAATCTAAGCTGGAAGGTCACCTGCTGGTCACGTTCTCTAGAGCAGACATTCCCTTCCAGAGCCCAGTCCAGTACCCGCCATGCGGCAGAGGCTCTATGAAAACTGAATGAGTGAGATGATCACAGA